AGCAAAGACCCTCGATAAAAGATCGTAGTCCCTTGATGACCCTCAATGTTGCCTTCGGTAAACGATCTAGTCCCTAAACGACAAACGTCCCATAGGTTACCTTCTATGACTATACAAACGTCCCACGCCCTTGCCTTCACATCCAATGATGGGACTTCTTACCAAATCAATGGTAAGATAGCGACATCTAAAGGAGAAGGAAAAGAACGTTTAAGACCTTTTGAGTAGGTAGGTGCCTCCTAGTTGCTCGCTTGCTCACAATAAAAACATTTTATACACCAACACTTTCATTTTGAAACATTTTCAAAAGACAAGCACTTTGTACGAGTTCTTATAGAAACGAGAACCATTACAAAGACACCTTTTTAAAATCACTTTCAAAAAACGCATTCCACAAACACTTCTTTGAACTATTTTCCAAACAACACTTTGTACGCGTTCTTATAGAAACGAGAACCATTACAAAGACATTTTCAAAATACTTTCAAAACCCACACCACAAGCATATTTTCAAACAAAAAGCAAGTGATATAGCAAGCAACTAAGAGCCCGTAGATAACTACGGATGAAAAGGGTTCTAATACCTTCCCTTTTCATAGCCTACCCCCTAAACTCAAGAAATAATCTCGAAAGATCTTTCCTGTTCTTTTCAACCTTTCCTTATTGGATAAAAGAAAAGTCGGTGGCAACTCTTGCTATCCGCAAAAATTGCGATCAAACGCAAAATACCCAAGTCAATTTTCCCACCGTATTACAATAGGTATACTCAACAAATTGTTTGCAAATGATAAAAAACCTTGTGCCATGTCTAAGACATTTTTCACGAAACCTTACTTTAAAAAGCACCTTTTGTGATTTCTTCTATACACGCTTCCTTATATGACATGATTCAAAACTCTTTGCCATGCATAAGTGTATCGCATCATTAATCGATGAACACTTGTAACATTATTGCTTATCACATGGTCTATCCTTTCTTTTCATAAATTGTGATGTTTGATAAAATGTTTTATATCATGAGATTCTCTATCACATGTTTGCTAAGTGATTTCTATATATGTTAAAAAGCATCATGCCATGCCATATCATCTTTGAGACTTAACGTATTTTATTAGGATGTTTTATTACTTGTATATGTTACATGTATGCTATCATGTTATTTGCATATCCATTTGCATCTTTTACCCGTCTTTTTGATAATGACAAAGGGGGAGAAATATACTCTCAGAGGGATGGTATATATTCTATCTAACTCGTGAGGAGTGTTATCGCTCCAAATATATATATTATTTTATCTCTTTTACCACCTCTCTTGAGAGACTCATTGTCATCTTATAAAAGGGGGACTGTAGAACCTTGTTTTTGCAGATAATAGGTTGTTGTCTTGATGATGACAACTCTGAAGTATAGAACAAACATTCAACACATTGAAGATGCAACAAAAAATTTAGCAGGATAGATGCAACAAGTTTTTGACTATATAGGAAAGAACAAGTACTCAACATAATGAAGATACAACATAATGACAACTGTAAAGGATCAGAAAGATTACATTCAACATAGTAAAAATGCAATTATAAAGCAAGTCAACCAACGTACTTGAAACAATTTAAAAGATGCAAGCCACATGGTTGATAAAGGATTGCCAAAGCTTTTAGATAAAGCTTCAGACATCAACAAAGGTTGCTTAGACAAAGGCAAACAAACAAACAATATCAAACGCCTAATGAGATCTCAAGCAAGGTGTCAACATAATGAATACATCAACACATGCTTAGGGAAGTTATCTCAATTTAGTAAGTGAGAGAAACTTTTGTAAAAACAAAAGTTATTTCTTTATAGAGGTAGTTCGCTATAAGCATACACACACATTTATTATAAGTTGCTTAGAAAGTGACGGGAACATTCTAAAAGGCAAAAAAAATATTTTGACGGGATCTAATCGATTATCACAAAGTGTCAATCGATTAGATTGTCGTGCATTTGAGAATAAAGGCAAATTTAATGTACCCAAATGATTAACAACAATTACATATCACTTACCTACTTTGGAAATCATAGCCATTACATTTAAATAATTTAATCGATTGAGTTAATCGACTGGTAACGATCATTTTTTATTTAATGATGTTTCTTCTTCTGGAGGATTTGAACCCTATAAATAAAGGTCTCATTCCTCAGTTCATTTAATCCAAAATACGAAATATGTATTGACACACACACTTTCTCTTTCTAAGTTTTCGTTTTCACTTTCTCTCACTAGTTCTTATAGCCAAATGCTTTTGTGAGGAAAGATCTTTTGTGAGTGAGATGTTTATATAATTCTGGACGGGTAGCAATGTATGAAATTCTTCAAGATTGTTGTTGATGCACCTTGATGAACATAATCCATTTTTAGGGAAAAATCACGTGGTTCGAGCTAAATCCGTTAAAAGATTTGGTTGGAGATTGTGTGATTAGTTCCCATGTTCATTGAGGTTGAAAATTATTAATATTGATGAGCATACCTTAATGCTACTATAAAGCCTTGTTTATTCAAAGGTTGAAAATCATCAATATTGATGAACTTACCAATAGGTTCATGGTTAGCGCATTTTAAAACCATAGGTTCAAATATAGGGATGTTAAATTCTCAAGAGGTTAATGGTTATCCTTTTAAACTATATTGAACTCAAATATTTTGCGGAGAAAAGTTTAATCACTTCAATCTACAGTTGGGAAGAAAGCTTGACCACTTTAGTCTCACGAATAGTGAAGACGCAAACGATGATATTCTTCGTCTTGTATTATCATGGTTGTAGGACAACCACCATATCTTTGTATAAGGGTGTTCATGAGCTTCACATACTAAAAGCTCTCAAGTACATACTAGAAACTCTCAAGACTAGTTCTTGGGGAGAGGAGTAGGTCATTTTGATTTAATTGAACCTTTGTACAGCATGGTTTTCTTCTTTTCCCTTAATCTTTTACTTTTGTACTTAAAATTTTGAAATATTTCGTTGCTAAGTTAATGAAAAACCTTTTTGAAACTACGATAGATCTTAGATTTTAGAAAAATGTTCTCAAACTCTGATTTTAGTCTCGAAAAAGTTTTCAAAACCATGTTTTTTTGAACCACACAATTCACCCTCTCTTGTGTGTGAAGTCTCAAGTCAAACATTAATGTCAAGTGTCTTGAAACTTTCATTATCTAGCATCGATAGAGCGTCGACCAGGGAGCCAATTGGCGTGACAATTATAGTTTGGAAGAATCACAAAAACAGATCCACAAGATTATGATCACCTGAAAGCATGTCCAAAAAGCTTGAGAAGGACAATCGACCGGGTTTCATCGAAGAAGATATTGGTCGACAAATCCATAAAGAGTTTCGGGACTTAGCGAATTCTCTAAAAATCTAAGTGTCAAACAGAGACGACGTCGACGACACATTTGACAGTTATTATCAAGAGTTTATGGGAAAGCTTGAAGCGATTATTTCAACGTGGGTTGCAAACAAGCATGAGATTATGGATGACACATCTATGTGTTAGTGAGAGCCTGAAGATCGAACGCGGGATGAAACTTAACAATTTCATAGTGCTTAGAACCATTATTAATGATTACTTTCAAATAAAATAAATGGCAGACACATACTTTGTAGCAAAGGTCGTAAAATTTTATACATTCTCGCCATACAACTGGAGTACCCGAGTCAAAGAGAGAAACAGTTCGCGAGAAATATGTATATGTCTGCTTCCAGTCGTTTCATTGTTTTCTTGTTTCCTTAAATGAAGCATTTATTTTTTCCGTGTTAGGTTTTACCTTTGTTTGTCATTACTACACTTTATCTCCTTGTCGTTTATCAAAACTTATCTTCATCTAAAATCTGTCTTTGCATCGTCGTTGTACGAACGATTGCATTTAATTCACACACACACACACACACACACATGTTTTCATATAAATTATTTGCAAAAATTACTTTGGAGATTTTTCGAGTTAATCTCAATAACTTTATCAAACTCGTGATTAGTTACCAAAAACACATGTGAATAGGGTGTTACACTTGGCATCAGATGTGCAACCAACTATTTCTGATGAGAATTGATTGTGGCTACTCTTCCTACCCGTAGCTAGGAAGACTCTACTTTAGCCGTTATAACATGGACCCTCATTGCCTCTTTATTAGTAGTCCTAGAAGTAATAAATCTATCATTTTCCTTGATCCTCATTGAAAAATGAAGAAAAAAATAGTGAACTATTGGCAATTTCAAAAATTAAAATACCCTATTACTAACACCGATAATTTCAAAATGTCTAGGACTGTGTTAAAAATTTACATTATTTTTAAATTTTCGATATAAATACATGAATTTATATCGACAATGATAAAATTCTCGATAAATATTCATGCATTTATATTTTTTTTTTCCAAAATTTTCTATATAAATATATGATAACTACGATATTTTACCGAGCATTTAAAAAATACCGATAAAAACAAGAATTCTTACTTTTTATGAAAATATCTATATAAGCTATAAAATTTCTGGTACTACAATTTTTTATTTATAAAATATCAAAGTTTTCCATTTTATGAAAGATAATATTTTATCCGTTTTAAAATGAATGTTATTTTAATAAATAAAATTTATTTCAAAATGAATGTCACTCTCATTTTTTAATGTAAAATAATTACTATTTTTTCAATTATATTTTTTAGTAAATAATTTTATACACAATTAATTGTAAAATTTTAATTAATTAAAAAATAAATATAATATTTTCTCTCTACTTTATAATCACAATGAATCCATAAATCTAATTAAAAAAATAAAATTAAAATAAAATTTAAAGTTTCCTTAATTGTTTTTAAGAATGTTGATATAAAGATGTTTTAAGCTAAGAACTCCTCCCTCCCCAAAAAAAAATGTAAGAACTCCTAAAAATTCACATAAGTGTAGTGTGCAATGTATAATTGAGAGGTGATAGGTTAAATTGGAACAACGTATACACAGACAAAAAAAAAAAAAACAAGAATTGAAAAGAAAAAAAACAACATAGTGCTTCTGGATGATCATCACAATCCCCATCGCATCACTAATCAATTACGTTCATCTTCGCCACTCTTACATTTCGATTTCAAAGACACCAAAAAAACATCATCGAAATCAGAAACCTTGTCTCCTTGTTTTGTTCCACACACAAACCTTAACCTCTCCAATTCCCATCCAAATTTCCTTCCTTTCCCTTTAATAACGCTTTGCAATTTCCGTTCTCTGATCTCTCTCCAACAAGGACACTCTCCCATATTATATATTCATAGCGAAAGAGATAGATAAAGAGGAAGAGAGATGCTTAAAACTTCAGTTTTTCAAGTTTATCAATTTCTTTCGAATTCTCAAGGTATTTGAGCTCTATTGTGAAATTAAGCTTCTGGGTGTTGTGCAAATTTAGTTATTATTTGTGGTTCATTGAGAAAAAAAACATTTTTCCTCCATTACTTATTTGAGTTTATGGACTCTGGTTTTGTGTATTGCTGAAAAGTATGGGTTTTTTTGTTGTGCCTTTGGGTGTAAATTATTGTTAATTGAAACGGGTATTTATTGAATTTAGGGTTGATGGAAGTTTTGAGAGATTTTTGTTAAGTTTGCAATGTTTTTTGAGCACTGAAATTACATTGGGTTTGAGAATTTTGTTTATTGTGGGTTTGAATGGATGAAAGTTGGCTCTCACAATGCTACTGTTTTGAATTTATACTAGTGTGGTAGGTTGGTTTTTTGTTTCTTGTGTGGTTAGAAATTAGTCTAAATTATGCTAAGAAATGCTATGAAGCTGAGTTGTCTTAGCGGTTATCACGTATATAGCACTTATACTTCAGATTGATGGCTTATCTGATGTCACATGTGTCGGTGTTAGTGCTTTAGAGTTTGTCACTCAGGAACAATTTTTTCCCCTTTTTCCACTAACTCGTTAATGAGTTTTTTTTAATTATTATTTATTAACTCTAAAAGATGTAAGTTGATTAATTGTTGTATTGGTATTTGATAGAAAGCGGATAATTTTAGATTTGTAGAGAGGGTTGTGATGCTGAATGTTGCAGCCAACCACTGGAGTAGGGATGAATTCTGCAATGGATGATATGAATTTGATTCAGCAAGCACAGAGGCATCACTTGGTTGTGAGGGAGATTGGTGAAGAGATTGATTTAGAAATTGGACCTGGGGAAGATGATCCTTCATTTGGCAATGCAACACTAATTGGTGCACCGTTGCGGGAATCTTCTGCAGAAGATCATGGCGAGAGCAAGCAGATGATGGTGGTTTCTCAGCTTTCTAATGACGTTCAAGACCTGTCTCAGACTCAACAGGTGAAAAGGAAGAAAAAGGTTGTTAAGAGATGGAGAGAGGAATGGGCAGACACTTACAAATGGGCCTATGTCGATGTGAAAGACGGGACACCGAGGATTTTCTGCTCTGTCTGCAGGGAATTTGGCAGGAAACATCGAAGAAATCCTTATGGCAATGAGGGAAGTCGTAATATGCAGATGAGTGCGCTCGAGGAACACAATAATAGTTTGCTTCATAAAGAGGCTCTTCGTCTTCAATCGGCCTCCAAAGATAAAATTATGGCTGACAAGCCTGTATATGTAAAAGGTTGGCCATCTCCGCATGCTACTATATTAACTGACATGTGCTAATATTGTTTTCAGTTTCATTAAAAACATTATCATACCTCTATGCTTATTTTCAAGTCTTATTTTCATTTCTTCTTGATTGAATTTCTGTTTTACAATTTAAAGAATAAATTTCTTGATGCTTAAAAGTGCACTATTTGTTTTCTTGATAAAAAATGCTTGCATTCTTTTGGGTATTGCCTGACAAATTCCATAATTGAAGCCGTAATGTCAAAAACAGCGGGATCAATTCTTGAAGCTACGCTGAAAAGGGATCCTCATGAGGTTGAGTTCATTCAGGCAGTCCAGGAGGTAGTTCAAGCTCTTGAGAGAGTCATTGGGAAAAATTCTCAGTGAGTTTTGTCCAAATGGTTATTATTGTATAATTTTTATTTACTTATTATTTCATAATATGACAGACCTTATGTTTTCAAACTGTATTTATAATTTATAATATCATGAATATTCTCATGTTTCAGTTATGTTAACATCATGGAGCGATTGTTGGAACCTGAACGAATGATTATTTTTCGAGTTCCATGGGTGGATGATAGGGGTGAGACACACGTTAATAGGGGGTTTCGAGTACAATTTAACCAGTCAATGGGTCCATGCAGGGGTGGCATTCGATTTCATCCATCAGTGAATTTAAGTATTACCAAATTCCTTGGCTTTGAGCAGGTAATTACTAATAATTTTGGTACTTCCTATTATTTTTACATCAATTTTATACGAAACTTCTTCTCTGCAGACGTTAAAGAATGCTCTATCACCTTACAAATTAGGAGGAGCAGCTGGTGGAAGTGATTTTGATCCAAAAGGAAAAAGTGAGAATGAGGTGAGTTATCAGTTTAATCTCATCTTGTGTAGTTTTATAAATTATAGTTACTAAATATTAATTTGATATGGTGGCAGATTATGCGATTTTGCCAGAGTTTCATGTGTGAGATGTATCATTACCTTGGTCCAGACAAGGTAATTGAAAGTACAATTTTCCTTTATCTTTTTACTTATTCACGTCGAAGGCCCGTTCATCATATTATTCTTGCTTCGATGTATATTAGGACCTTCCGTCGGAGGAGATGGGCGTTGGTACTCGTGAGATGGGGTATCTTTTTGGACAGTATAGACGTCTGGTTGGTCATTTTCAGGTAATTAAAGCATTGTTATATAACAACTAACTATTTTCAGACGGTGACATTGTTATCCACGACACGATGAAAAAAATTCAGGCATATTGGTATTCAAAGTCCACCAAAAGTCCACCAAAAAATATTTACTTTCGGGGGGAATAGGAAAGTGATTATCTGGATTTTGAGTAGTTTCTAAAAATATTATGAATAGGAAGGTGATAATATTTTGGATTGAATTTTATCTCAGGAATAACTTCATCAAAGAAGAAGGAACAATGAAATCCTTAGAAAGAGAGCAAATGACTTTTAAAACTCTCTTGAAATGAGTGTTGAAAATGATCAACCGCAAATCTAATATGTTTTGTCTGTCAAATGACGAGTATAAATATTTCAAGCTGCTCCTGACAAATCAAGATAATCACTTCAAAATTTTCCTTTCTATTAACAACTTGCAAAATTTAATAAACTGAGATGATCATTTGAAATGTGTCTAAACAATTTTTTCAATCTTGAAGTCCTCTAAATTGAGGTTTTGACGCCTAAATTAACGCCTAACTAAATTACAAACATCAATTGCACAACTTCAACTCTCGACCCCTCCTCCATCTATTGCACAACTTCAACTCTCGACCCCTCCTCCATCTATTACACAACCGAACCATTGACTATATAGTCAATTGCAATTGAGTAAACTTACGAAATGTAATAAACCCAGCAAACACCGCCAGACCTGAAAATTGCAATTGATAGATAAAAATAGAAACAAACCAGAGAACTCGAAATCAAAGAATGGTAGGAACTGGAATGTCATGGAACATGTGCACACAAGGAGGATTTGGGTCAATGGTGCTTGAACGAAAGCGCGAGGGACGGCGAAGAATTGGGGACAGTAGCACGAGGAACAGGGACGACGACCAGAAGCATTCACTGGGTTATAACGATATGAGAATTCATTGAAATGGACGCGTTCGGTTGGAATAGAAAGATGGTGAATATTGGTGTGCGTGAAAATAGAAAGAGGAAACCAAAAATCTATACTTTTATTTTTGGGTTTAACGTAAAAGCTGATTTGAAATTGAGTAAAACACTATTTCAACTAGACCTTGCAAGTTGCAACTATGCTATGTTTCTTGCTCTACCATGATATCAAATTACATCCTATAAGGATGCAATACTATGAAGTGGACCTTCTACCTGCCTGTGGATCCTTTATTTACCGGTGAACCTGTCCAATTAGCATAGGAATAAATAACCCACAACATGAGTGTTATTCTTGTTTTATAAAGTATTACCCAGTGTCCTCTTTATATACTTAAGAATGTGAACCACAGCGTTGCAATGGTCACCACTTTGAGCATTTACCCAGTGCCCCCTTTATGTACTTAAGAATGTGAATCACAGCGTTCCAATGTTCACTGGGAGGTAATTAAGTTTGCCAACCAGACGTCGATATCTACAAGGAGTCTAATGCATTAATAAGAGTTAGTGTTTATTCTTCTATATCATAAACCTAATCACAATTCTCTGTCTTCATTCTTTCTCCTCCCTCATTCCTTATCTAAAGTTGTATAGCTTCAACAAAAACATCAATAAATGTAAACCATAATGGCCAAATTCCTCCATTCCTGTATGAGTGTCTTACTAGGTTATGCACACAAATTGAGAAGCTATACAAAATTTTTGAGAAGCTATATCATAAACCTTGTATAAATGAAAGAAATGGAACAAGCTCTACTAAATCAACCTTATTATGCATTAGTGTTTCACTATTATCATAAATACAAGGTGGTGAGTGATTCACCTAGTACTAACTAGATGGTAAATTAGAAAATCGTAATTACTATTATATTGAAAACCTAAAAATACACTCATTTTTAGGACAGATTATTTTTGCGAATGTTATACTCATAATGGGATTGAGGAAGTATATAACTTGGATACAGCTTACATTTCCAAACCTAGTTTATGCAATATTTTGGTATTTTTGTTATTATTTAGCATCTAATTCTAATCTGGTTGTTGTAGATATCTTAATTTTTTGAATTCAAGTTTTAATTTTAATCATATAGCTGACTCTACTTTGTAGGATAAAGTTTGGTTGTTGTCGTTGTAGATTTCTTTTATTTTTTTCCATTTGCTATCTTTGCCTTTATGTACTTGGGTTATTGCTCTGGTATAAAGAAATGAATGTGCATATTATGCACATTAAGTATCATGTATAATACATTGTAACATATCTAATATGTTTAGAAACATGATATTTTGTGATACTGATTATGCTGGCATTTATTGAAGAAAGAAAAACTTTAATTGTCGGTTAATTTTCATACGCATACCTTACTTCTGCAGGGAACTTTTACAGGGCCAAGAATATTTTGGTCTGGCTCCAGTCTTCGACCTGAAGCTACTGGCTATGGGCTGGTAATTTCAACTTTTAATAGCTTCTTGTGGAAATGAAACGTGTAAATGTGTATATCTGTATGTGTATAAAATGTACTCCATGGTAGACTTTCATTTTCTTTCTCTTTTTTCT